TCATTAAAGGTTCATTGTTCTATTAAATAACTTTCGGTAGAATAGATGTTGCTGCATATCAGTCAGAGATGAGCACAGGACAAGATTTTCCGTCCTGGCCTGTCCTGTTCTTTATTGGCCCCCCATCCTGCCGCTCAGCAGGACAGGCCAAAATCTTTAGTATCGTCCTGTCCTGCAGGACAGGGCAGGACAGGATACAGGACGACCGCACCGCCCCGTTCTGTGCTCATCTCTGTAGTACATTCATTTTGATGTTCTTTTAAACGTGTTGTTCCACTTTTAGAAGAATAAACAAATGTTTGATGACGTTTGAAGCAACTAACGTAACCCATAATCCGCTTATACTGATTATTTTCACTAATTTAGCAGGAAAGCCAAAAGTATTCCACCAAGATAATGGTCACGCTGCTAGTGCTGGCTGATTTTTGATAATTGTATAGTTAGTTGTGTCTGTCCGCAGAAGAACTTTTAGTTTTTCTGAATTGAAAGAATCTTCTTCATGAGAAAATATTTCAATAAAGTCCATGTATTCTTTTGTTGAGAAAGTACAAAACAAACTTTCAAAAAGAAGTAAAAATAAAGACGAGATGCCGATGTTATGATAAGAGAACGAAGAACAATAGATATACAGTGTTTACATTTGTTATGCATATTTTCTTTTTTCCTCCCGATTTGACCATCTTATCAACCAATTCGTAAATGATTGCACTTCTTCATTTAAAGAATAATGACATCTATCACTGATAGCGAATATGAACTGTTATTAACGATAATAAGTATCAGAAATCACTACAGGACAACATCTCCCATCCGGTCCTGTCCTTCCTGTGTTAACTTCATCCTGCCGCTCACCAGGACAGGACAGAAATTTTAGTTTCATCCTGCCCTGGTCACCGCACTGTAATTCTATCCTGCTGCTCGACAGGACAGGACAAAAACGTTAGTGTCGTCCTGTCCTGCAGGACAGGATACAGGACGGCCGCACCGCCCCGTCCTGTGCTCATCTCTGATATCAGTACAATGCAATGTAACACTTATTACTATGGCTTTTACTAGTAGAGTAATGAACCTATACTAGTTTTTCCGTTTGAAATACTACTGATAATAACTCTATCCATACATATTCGGTATTTTGTATTTATTGTTGTCGGAATAAACAATAAATCGAATAATCTTTTGTTTATTGGAGATTATTCAAACTAATCCATATTTTATAGTGGAAAATTTGCATTGTGTTCGTCTATTCACTTTATATTTAAAGATATACAGTAAAGTTAAATCAGAGAGAAAAATAATATGTCGAAAATCAAGCAATGTTTACAATGGTTATGTTCACCCAGTGATGTTAGCATTTTAACTGCATTTATCCGGTTTATAGTAGGAGTGCTCGCTATCAGTTTTATGTCAGCCTATTTCCATGGTCTTGTTCAGGATAACAAATTATTAAATGAACATCCAATATATCAAATGATTAATGAATCCAACTTATTTATGCAAGCAATGCAGAAAAATATGTGTGGTTTTGAAATGATGAAGAAATACAAATGGCTTAAACATTTTGATTTATATATTAACGCCAAATACGATATACTGTCGGAAAATTTAACAAGTTTGATATGTGTTGGACATATAATGGCGTTTTATAACACTATTCTGATGCATTGTTTACTCAGTGGTGTTTTACCAGTATCCGTTATATCATGTGTTCCAATAACTACTTCACTCATGTCTGGCTTCATTAATCCAACATATATTATTTTATTAGGTTTTTTCGAATTCAGTCAAGCATTGTTAACAATTATAATAATGTTAACTTTTATTGTTATAAAAGACAAAAAGAATGACACTACAATCATTGAAAACCGAAGTCCAAACAAACAATTATGATTTTTTTACATGTTGATTTATTGTTAACATTTTTTTATTGATAGATGAAGCTTGAAATAAAATATGATTATTTTTCAGTTTAATTTTTAGTCTTTCTCTTTGAAGATGTTCACAAACTTTTGTATATAAATTAAATTAGGATTCCTTTGTAATCATGCGAAAGAAGCATTTTTTTAATGCATATTTCATTTGTTAAATTACGATGAATTTTCACAAATCTATATAATGAATGTAGTGTTTGACATAGAAGACATCAGGTTCCGATAGATCCTGGATTTTGACAATGTAAAAGAGGATTTCATTCACAGGCAATAAATATATTTTATTGGCCTGATTTAAGCATATCATCGATTGATTGACAAAAGTTTCAAGAACTTAATACAAACCATGGGAAAAAAAATAATAAGAAAGCGATTAAAAGCACATTTTTTATTGATAAACCTCATTCTGAAGGTTCAAGAACAGGTTCAGGATGAGGATAAAGGTAAATGTTGACAAAAGATCTGCACTCAAATTGACATCCAAATCCGCGTCTGCACATTCGCGACGAACTTCCTATGCAATGAAATGTCCTGTGGAGATCTGTTCTAGCGCCATTCATGCATTGCACATGATATATTTTTTTTATAGATGACTTACTTTTAGAGAATTATAATGTACTAAGGAAAACATAATCTTTTAGAAAGAAAAACAACTGACATATAAATATAGTTCAACAATGAATCTAATAAAGATGACAAGATACAAGTTATACAAAGAGAGAAATATCGAACTATGTTTGCACAAGATTATTATTATTATCATATGATGTAATTCTCAATTTTAAGTCAATAGTAAATCATTTACTAATATTAGTGTCTGTACTATTAATCTACATGTTTGTGACCAATTAATCCATGGTAAAATATTGATACAGATGCTGCAAAAAATAATAAATAATAAACGATATAAGTAATCAAATATTCAGTCAGTGTTCAATCAAACAAATTTTATCTGATAATTATAATAATCCAATCTATCAGAGTCATTAAACTAATTGTTAGTAGTACTAATTACATTATCAGTATCTTTATGTAAAAACAAAAATTTATCATCAATGTCAACATTTGTTATTTCTATAGACGAACTTCTTTTGAATATAAAATCTTTTTTTGAATGTCATCTTTCTATTCTTCCGCATTAGTTTTTCATACCTTAGTGGAACATCTTGTAAGCAAGATCTTGACCAAGATACAAGGTATAGAAAAGTGAGTAGATCTTGAAAATTTAGGTATAAGATAATCACATTATCTTGTACCAAGATCTGTAATCAGATCTTGGGTACATATGTACAAGATCTTAAGGACAGATGTATGAGATCTTGGATACAAATGTGTAAGATCCTAGGTACGAATCCATAAGATCTTGGAACCACACTAGGGTAAAACGTGTTGCATCTGTCGTGGTTTGCGACATAATGTATGACGCATTCTAAACGCGTGGTTCTAACCTATGATGAAGCACATTTTTTTATTTTTTTCTATAAAGATCATATAGAATATAATCTATGAGAGAATTCAAACAAAAAGAAAATATCACACATAGATAAGAATGTTATTAAATAGAAAATCTTAGATATTTTAATCGAATGAATAGAAAAAGATCGGAAAAATATTTTTATCATTAACTTTAAAACTTTATTTAGATGAAAATCCTTTAATTCATATATTCAAGAATCAAGTTTCATCACTCAAGATCAATTTTAATAATAAAAACAATTCGTGTCCAATGGTAGGTATCTCTTCGGTGATATTTCAAAAAATTTTGACCATATATACTAATTTACGATGCTTAAAATGCAATCCATCGTCACCTTTTGGTGACGCTTTATATTTATATCCGGCGAATGGAATTGCTATCTGTCCAACTTTATTAGAATTACATGTCAGTGTAACAGATATGAAACAATGTCTTCATATACTTGATGGACGTTTTGATCAACTTCGTATACTTTATGTTACCTTTGATAGTGTTTCGCCTGAGTTTTTCAACATTGAAGATAATGTAGGTTATTTTTATTAATATTTTGTTTGTTTAAATGAACTCATATTTGATTTCATTTTCAGCAAAAGTCACTAGCAAACTTACGGATTTTTTCTTTGTGCTGCAATGATAAGATAAATGATTTTGATGAATCAATTGTGCCACTTCTACATCGAATGTTAAATATAGAAGAACTTCATTTAAATATTATAGTTAAATGTTATGAAAAATTTATTTCAGGTGATACATTGAAGAAAGATATTATTATTTATATGCCACGATTATATAAATTCACATTTAATATTTGCTGAATCATTGATCATCGTAATCAAACTAATTTTCCATTAAATGAACATATTCAAAAAACATTTAAATATTTTTTTAATAATCAAATAATTACTTGTATTGATCATTTCCAAGAAAAAGGATATAGTCAATATCATATTTACTCATATCCATATAAATTGAAAGTTTACAATAATATAACAAATAATTTTCGAGGTGGATTGTTTACCTGTGTTACTCAAGTATCATTATATGATGAACGTCCATTTGAGCATGATTTTTTTCTTCGAATTGCTCAATCATTTCTATTTATGAAAGAATTAACAATAAAGAATCAAAAAGCACAAAATAAGAAACAATTTATAAAATCAAACAGCGATGATCAAATATTGTCAATTATTGAATATCCCAATCTTACTCGACTTGATCTTACTAACACTCATGATGATTATATTGAACTATTTTTATTTGATAGGAAAATGTCTTTGCCAAATAATCTTCATCTTTGTGTCGATTATCAATCATTGGAAAGAGTGACATACTATTTTACAAGATATATAACACGAAATCACTGTGCAAAACTTGCTGGTGTATATTTTTATCCATTGAATCAAATCGATGAAAATATCAAAAACTATTTTCCTCATACATGTATATGTCGTGCTGTTGATTTTGTATGATCTAAATAAAATCTATTTATATGGAATGAAATGATTGAAAGGGACAAAAGATAATGAATAAAGATAAGAATTTCAAAGAGAAATCAGTAGATCAATATGGCAATGATAAATATACGTGTTTCTTTTTTATTTATGCAAATTAATTAAAAAGTTTAAGACTTTTTTAAGCAAGCTTAATGCTCCTGTATATTGATACCATTGCGAAGCATCTTTTTCCAAATCAATGTTGGACAAAAGTTGAAAATAGCCTTTTAAATGTTCTACAGTTTGCGGATCATCTTGAGCATGTTTTGCCATATAGTAAAACAGTTCAATTGCTGTTGTAAAGGACTGTGGTGTGTGTAAATTTTGATATATTGATGCCATTTCGAAACCGTGCTGCATATTCCCATAAAATAAATATGACCATCGTTCCGCTGATAAGCAAAACCCCTTAACAAATATATTTATGAAATATAACTGAACAAAAACAAACAAAAATATATTTACCGTTGCTCATAGTCATTTTAATAATTCGTGAATCATATTCACGACGAATACTTTCATAATTTTGAAATTCCGCTTTAAGTTTTATTGATGAAGAGCTGTCAGCTTGTTCTACCATCTAATATAAAAGAAAAACTTCTGATAGAACCATTTCTTTTTTTGTTATTGTTGTATATTTACTTGAAAACAACAAGGTGCAATAGAAAGTAAATGGACAATATCGTGAACACTTGAAAGAATGCCATATGGATCCTTTCTTTGTACTAGTTGTGCCATAGATTCGAAAAGATCTTCACCGGATGTTATTGGATGGCAGCATTTAAGAAACAATAAAATTGTTTTTAATACTTTTTCTTGCATAGCTAAATTAATAAACAATGATTAAGATAAAAAAAAATAATTTGGAAAAAAAAAATCAAACCTGGTTCAGGAAAATGACCTCTTGGTAAACGAATAGCTGCCTCAAGATTATCTTTTAATAGTTGAGGATTTTGATAATGACGAATACAATCAATACAGATATGTTCACCAAGACTACGTGTTGCTTCAAGAACTTTTGAACGACCTTCATGATTAATATATTGACTATTTAATAAGCTAAATATTTTTCGTGTCGTTGAACGACTGAATATTGATTGACGTTTTTCATCATTAACTAAAAAATAGTCACATAAAAAAATGACATAAACTTTTTGTTTTTTCTTCTTACTTATTGGTTTAATTAAAAGTGATATCTCACCCAAAAAATTTTCCGTCACAGTAAAATATGATCTTGTTAAATCATCAAGTTTCATATAAGATGGACAGTCACAATAACGTTCTTCAGTATCTTTAGGTAACTATATTTAAATAAAAACAAAAACAAAAAGGAAAAATTTTTTTAGTATTTAATAATTAATTAAAATATTTACTTGTTTTCGATCATAATGAATAATTAATAATGGATAATTTGTTGGTAATTGATTAATTGACATATCATTTATTTCAAATGAAACTTCATCTTGTGGACATTTATTTTCATCACGCATTATATAAATACACCCTCCACACATTGTACGACCACATACAGGTAATGTTATTCGACGATTTGAGGGGGTGTGGGTGTGGGTGGATGTGGGTGCGGGTGTGGGTGCGGGTGTGGGTGTGGGTGTGGTTGGGTCTGGGCGTGGGTGTGGGCATTGTTCCTTCAGACACCCACACCCAGACCCAACCACACCCACACCCACACCGATACTCACACCGACACCCACACCCACGCCGACACCCACACCCACACCCATACCCACACCCATACCCACACCCATACCCACACCCACATCCACACCCACACCCTCACACACCCACACCCACACACCCACCCACACCCACACCCCTTAACCATAGAAGTTAGTAGTTTTATTTGGAAATAATAATCTTATTTGAAATATGAATGTCATGCATTAATTAATGGAATTCAACATGTTTATTTATCACAAATATATAATATTAATTAAAAATATCTTCCATTTATTTTTGATTATATTGAGGCGAGTATCGCAGTTTTATAATGTTTGCTACGTACAATTTATGATCAAATTAATTGCTATGTCTATGGTTTTGCGATAATAAACAGTTTGATTGAAGTTAAGGCTCTATGGTAACTATCCGTTTTTCAAATGTAACTTGTATCGGTATTTGGTTTAAAACTATGGTATAATAATTGCTTATGATTAAAATTTACAGTATGATGATTTTAATGGAATAATATTTGACTCTAAGGTCTAATAGTATGCTTATAAAGTTATTTGTGAATTTATCTACACATAGCAAGACAGAATACTAATTAAATTTAAACCATACAAACTAATTGATTTCAAAGATCAATTTTATGTGACACTTAGTAATCCAAGATTCATCTATGTTATGTAGTCAAATCTATCCATGCGTGTTACTAAGTTTAAACATCGATCAATATAATATAGTTGTTATAGATTATCTACCACAACCATATACGTATACTATCGATAAACTTAATGAAAACATAAGACATTATTCATTATGATTATATGAAAGTATATTTTGAAGATTGGTTCACCCGTTTTTGTTTTTTTCTGTTGCTGCTGCCTCGGAGAATTCCTTTTCTTTTTCTTTTTTCGTCAAAAAAATTTTCCTCTTATCTGTGCCCAAATTTATAATGCACAGTCCGCATGAGTGTTTAATTTAAATAGATACCACCAAACGCGTCTGAAAAATGAACTCTACGTTTATCTTTATTTATTACTTATGTAAAGCACATTATTTTATCATTCTACTGTTATTTCATTTTCTACTTAGCCGGTTGCTAAAAAGTACGAATTGACAGCAGCCAATTGATTTTGCCCAATTTAATCAGATTCTTTAGCAAGATCCAAACATATTGAAGTTTTCTTCACTCATCATTAAAGTAACAATATTGATTATCACAATGAGGTCTTTTAAGAATAAGTCAATATAGTAGTAGATTATGTGTCATACTTTTGATATTTCCAATCATTTGAATGAATACTTAGTCAAATCTCTATGTGATGAGACCTTTAAGCAGGGTCGAAACACATGTTACAAGAAATATTAGTAGTACTAAGTAGAAGTTAAAAACACTGAATGAAATTAAAAACAAAGGTTAAAGGTAAGAATTGCAACATTAACAAGTTTGTAAAAGAATTTTTAAATTGTCAGCACCTTCGTTCGCGACGGCGAAATCAAGCTTTTCATCGTTGTTAAAATCACCAACGGAAATCGCGAACGGAAGAGACCCATAATCGAACGAAAGAAACTGTACATCGGCGAACGAACCATTACCATATCCAAGCAAGATGCTTATCCTATTGGTGCCATAGTTGGCTACGATTATGTCAAGTAAACTATCGTTGTTGAAATCGCCAGTAACAATCGCGCTAGGTTGAGATGCCTTGCCAGTCGTAAATGTTTTTTCGCTTTGAAAAGAGCCATTACCACAACCAAGAAATATACCAACATTGCCATTGTCATGATTAGCAACGACAATATCAAGTATGGTATCCTGATTAAAATCACCAATTGCAACGGAGATTGGAGTAGAACCAGTTAAAAGTATCGTTTGATTTGTGAAAGAATAATTGCCATATCCCAGAAAAATACCCACGTTGTTGGTGCCTGAATTTGCAACTGCAATGTCCATTTGACTGTCATTGTTAAAATCTCCAATACCAAATGACCTCGGCCGAGATCCACTACCAGTTATGAGCGTCATTTGTTTTTTAAAAGCTTGATTGCGATATCCAAGAAGTATGCTGATACTCGAACTCCCAGAGTTACCAACGACGATATCCAGTCGCATGTCATTGTTAAAATCACCAACAGCTACAGAATTTGGCTTAGCGTCAGTTAAATATATTGTTGGTCCCGAAAAAGATCCGTTGCCATATCCAAGAAATATACTAACCGTATTGTCATTCGCATTAACAACCACGATATCCAATCGGGTGTCGTTATTCATATCACCAAGAGCTACAGATCTAGGATAATCATCAGTTGAATATGCCATTTGATGTGCAAAAGAGCCATTGCCGTATCCGAGAAATACAAGTACACTCGAACTCTCAGACTTAGTAACCACAATATCCAATCGAGTGTCGTCATTAAAATCACCAACAACTACAAATTGTGGTATTGGATCAGTTGTATATGTTGCTTGTTTTGCAAAAGAACCGTTGCCGTATCCAAGAAAGACGTTCACAGTACTATCATACCAAGTAGTAACGACGATATCTAATTTTGTGTCATTGTTAAAATCGCCAACAGCTACACAATCTGAATCATGTACAGCTAAAGATGTCGTTTGTTTTGCAAAAGAGCCATTGCCATATCCGAGAAGTATACTTACACTCGTACTTCCAGCATCAGCGACAACGATATCCAATCGGTAGTCGTTATTAAAATCACCGGTTGCTACAGATCGTGGATAAGGACCAGTTGAATATGTCGTTTGGTCTGTAAAAGAGCCATTGCCATATCCAAGAAGTACACTTATAGTACTGTCATGGAAATTAGTAACGACGATATCCAATCGAGTGTCATTGTTAAAATCCCCAACGGCTACGCAGTATGGATAACCACCAGTTAAATATGTCTTTTGTTCTGCAAAAGAACCATTGTTATATCCGAGAAGCACACTTACAGTGTTGTCATATGAATTAGCAACGACAAGATCCAGTTGAGTGTCGTTGTTAAAATCATCTAGAGCTACAGAGTATGGATAAGAGCCAGTTGAATATTTCGTTTGTTTTGCAAAAGATACGGTATCATATGCAACAAGCAGATCTACATTATCAATGTCATCATATGCGACAACAATCTCGGAACATCCATCATTGTTGAAATCGCCCGTAGCGATGATCAACGGAGCAAAATCAGAACCGTTATCATAACTATCTTGACTTTCAAACGTTGCGTTACCATTTCCTAATAATAGCCCAACATTTTTAGTACCATGATTGGCGACTGCGATATCCATTTGACCATCTTTATTAAAATCACTGATGGAAATCGAATATGGATGAGAATTGAAGCCCATTGAGAACTTTATTTGCTTTCTAAAAGTGCCATTTCCATGTCCAAGAAGGAGACCTATATTATTTGTACCATCATTGGCAACGGCAATATCCAGAAAGCCATCGTTGTTGAAATCAAAAACTCCAAAACTTCGCAAACGAGAACCATTACCAGATGCAAATGTAATTTCATTTGCCAGAGCTCCTGTGTCATAACGAAGCAAAATACCAACATTGTGGTGAAGCAAACTAGTACTGACAATATCCAATCGGGTGTCGTTGTTGAAATCACCAACAACTACAAACGATGGATCATTGCCAGTTGAACATTCCTTTTTACTTGCAAAAGAGCCGTTACCATATCCAAGAAGTATACTTACCGTTGGACGTCTATAATTACAAACGACAATATCCAATATACTGTCATCGTTAAAATCGCCAAGAGCTAGAGATTGTGACATAAAACCAGTTAAATATTGCCTTTGATTTGCAAAAGAACCGTTGCCGTATCCGAGAAATACACTTACAGTCGAACTTGCACCATTAGCAACAACGATATCCAATAGGGTGTCGTCGTTAAAATCACCAACAGATACAGAGATTGGATAACTGTCAGTTGAATATGTCGTTTGATCTGCAAAAGAACCATTACCATATCCAACAAGTACGCTGACACTCCTGCCATACATATTAGTAACGACAATATCCAATCGGTTATCATTGTTGAAATCACCAACAGCTATAGATCCTGGATTAGAGCCAGTTGAATATCTCGTTTGATAAGCAAAAGAGCCATTACCATATCCGAGATGTACACATATAGTGTTGTTATAATAATTGGAAACAACAATATCCAATCGGATGTCGTTGTTAAAATCGCCAATAGCTACAGAGTATGGATTAGAATCAGTTGAATATTTCGTTTGATCTATAAAGGAACCATTGCCATACCCAAACAGTATACTTATAGTGCTGTCAAGGAAATTAGCAACGACGATATCCAATCTAGTGTCATTGTCAAAATCACCAAGAGCTACCGATTGTGGCATAGAACCAGTTAAATATTGTGTTTGATTTGCAAAAGAACCGTTGCCGCATCCGAGAAATACACTTACAGTCGAGCTGCCAGAATTAGCAACAACGATATCCAATAGGGTGTCGTTGTTAAAATTGCCAACAGCTACGGACATTGGATAATTGCCAGTGGAATATGTTGTTGCATTTTCAAAAGCGATCTCGTCATAACCGAGCAGGATGCCTATGCTGCTTGTATCATTGTTGATGACGACAATATCTAAACGATTGTCTCTGTTGAAGTCATCTATGGCAACTGCGATCGACGAAAAAGATCCAGTGGAATACATTTCTGGGTTTGCAAAAGTGCCATCAGCATATCCGAGAAGAACAGCTATATTATTGGTACCATTATTGGTGGTGACTAAATCCAGGCGTTTGTCCTTGTTGAAGTCTCCAATGCCAAT